GATGTCATTGATACAGATGTTACAAAGCACTGTCCCAAGACAGTCCCCTGGAGGACATCACTCATTACTGGCCTCCACCTGGTCACAGAACCATTGATCACCACCACGTGGTCCATCCATCAAATCCACGTCTGCAATTTGGAGATAAGAATGTGGTGGGGACCATGTCAAGGGCCTTGCATATCCATGTAAATGACATCATCTAAAATCATCTAAAGATGAAACATAAATAGGAACAATAAAAACTCACTCTGTAGGCATCTGACTCAGTTTGCTCTCAGAAATGATATTTGGCCTATTTGTATCCATTTCCTACCACAAAGCACTAACCTGTGTGCTTCCTACTAGGCATTACACAATAACCAGACACATAGTTTTTCCAGGGAGGAATCCTCATAATGGTAAAAGTGAAAAGGCTAAGTACTACCAGAGCTTCATATTTGCTCCTGGAAAATCACTGTGTTTTCCTTCCTAAAGGAATGAAGTGATAACACAGAGGAAAATCAACAAAAGAAAGAAAGAAATATTTGAAAGTTTTGAGGAAAAAATATATTTGGGTTGATACACACATTATTTTTGGTTGTAGGGTCTCACATTTTTACTCACATTTTTAAAGAAGGATAGCTTAATATTCTTACCTTCTCCTTCATGTTCTCAAATTGTTGATAATAAGCTTCTGACCTGAGAAGAAATTGAATTACAATGCTTCATACACTTCTTTCAGCACAGATTATCAGGAGTCTTGAGATGCTCAACTCCAAATGAAAACAACAGATTAACCCACACTTAGACACTGCATATTTTCTTTTTCACCCCCCCATAGAGCATGCAGTCCTCTTTACTGAGTTATGGGTTCTGAGCTCAGTTGGATCAGAGCAACATAATGACATTCACTTTGACTCTGAAAATTTATTTCAGATTGAAGATGGTAGAAATTCCCTATCAAGTAAAGCATTCAGGTACATGTTTCAGGCAGATAAAATGCTATAAAACAGTATGTGTGATTCTGACTTAGAATCCCTTCCTTCTGGTACTCTGAAGAAGAAAGAAAGCTCAATAAATCCAGCTTTTTTACTTAGCAGTACAGGTGGTTACTGAGGTCCTCAGAAGCTGGCATTTTCAAACTTTCAAAAATATTTATCATGGGTGGTTTCTAATTTTGCAGGTTAGTTTTCTGGAAAACGATGTTCTGTTGCTGTTGTTTTGTTTTTTTAAACATTGATTTTAAAACCCACAACAGTGTGCCTGTACACACAACTGCTGCCAGAGCTGGCTCACTGATGGAAGACAAATAGAAAATGTAATTTCATGCTAGTTATCATTTTAAGTTCTCCTCGTGGTTTTATCCACTAGGGAAATAGTTTTTCTTTTCATATTTTTGCCTTATTGTTTGTTTAGAGCCTGAAAAGCCATGAGAATTTCATGTAACTTAGTTTTGGTTAATATCAGAGAGCGGAAATACTGTAGAGAATAACATGTAAAAAATATTATTTTTATTAGCTTTGCAGATGTTATGCCTTCAAAACCCAACTGTGTCAGTTCTGGCACTTTCTGAAGTTGATACCTTCGCTTGTGTTCATTTAAGTTACAAACAATGAGCCAGAAATTATTAATAAAAAAGCGGTGGATATAAGAGAATGCAGGACAGCTCTCCACAACTGGGCATACTGAAATACAGTTCGACCCCTTCCCACCCCTTTCCTTCCCCCTTCCCTTCCAGGGACAGAGACAGACTTCTCGATACTGAAAGCACAGCTCCTCTCCACTTGGGGCAGCAAAATCCAATTCCTCAGCTGGATTTGTGGCAGGGAAAGGTATCTCTCTGTCACTCCAGGCTGTTCAATGAAGGCAAATTTAAAACCATCTATCTAGTAGGTCAGCATTATTTCCAGTATTGATAAAATTATGTAGAAAAATATAAAAAAAATCAGAGAAAACAACAATAACAGCTAAGAGAATTGAAAATTAAGATTAAAATAAAGTTCAGGAGAGAAATACAATAAGATGCAGTAAAACACATACAAAACAATGGTATAGAATAGGCAGATCAGGAACTATTTTCCTGTAGTTCAACCTGTCAGGATTCCTCTGAATGCAAAGTTTGCCCAGACCAAACTATGATCAGTTTTAGGAGTGACTTTGAAGGAATATAAAACCCTGACAACTTCTCTTGATTTGCAGTCAAAACCAGGGATGAAATCTGAGACAGAGATTAAACTGATCCATACCTCCTCTTACTGTGTTCAGTTCTCACTCTGAGCTGGCCACAGGCTGAGGATAGCACAGTGGGCCTCCTGCATACTATGAAGTTTCTGTGTTCAGAAGACGAAAATCCTGACACTGACAGCAGGTTCTGAGTGTGCAGCAGTAAGATCACAATGACCAGCTCTTGTGGAACATCAGCTGCAGTTCTCTGATCAGTATCAGAATGGGGTAAAATTAATGCAGACTGCCACAGCCAGGCGGGAAGGAATGTTGGGTAACATCTTGGCTGGAGTCGTGTGATGCATGCAAAATATACTAAACAGTGGTAAATGAAAGCACTGTGACAATATGTGCAGTCAAATGGGGAAAATGAAGGCCAGAAGAAAACAGCAAGCAAAAGCAAAACCCAGGTGCCAGACAACATTAAGTACAGTATTGAAAGCAAGCAGTTAGTCAGTAGCATCATTATGAATTGCCCACGTCATCTGACACAACAATCATTGAGAACTGACATAGACTTCAAAATAAGAGAAATGTTAGAACTCAGTGTCTGACCAGGCGCCCTGAGGAGAAACACAAAGGGTAGGAAGAGGTACACAGCCAGTGTGTAGACCACTTGCTTTCTCTCAAATGGTGGCATAGAGATGACCCACTGGGAAACATTCTTACCACATCTGTGTCATATCCTATACTGGAAAACTCAAGGACTGATGGCATAAAACTCAAGGACTTCCTTCTCACAACACCCTGTGAACACTCTCCCCTTCTGCAGTACTGCATCCAGGCCTGGGGCCCCCTCTACAAGGACATGGAGCTCTTAGAGCGGGTCCAGAGGAGGGCTCAGTGGCCTGGAGCACCTCTCCTATGAAGAAAGGTTGAGGGAACTGGGCTTGTTTAGCTTGGAGAAGGCTCTGAGGAGGTCTCATTGTGGCCTTCTAGTACTTGAAGGAAGAGTATAACTGGAGGGATAACGGCTGTTTACGAGGGTGGATAGTGATAGGACAAGGAGGAATGGTCTTAAACTGAGACAGGGGAGGTTTAGGTTACATATTAGGAGGAAGTTTTTCACACAGGGGGTGATGACACACTGGAACAGGTTGCCCAAGGAGGTTGTGGATGCCCCATCCCTGGAAGCATTCAAGGCCAGGCTGGATGTGGCTCTGGGCAGCCTGGTCTGGTGGTTGGTGACATAGCAGGGGGTTAAACCTAGATGATCTTTGAGGTCCTTTTCAACTGAGGCCATTCTATTCTATGATTCTATGATTCTATGATTCTATGATTCTATGATTCTATGATTCTATGATTCTATGATTCTATGATTCTATGATTCTATGAATGAAATACAGGCTTTGGGGAGCTGCATACATCTGGCCTGACCAGGTGGAGCACTGACACCTTTGTGAAACAGTGCTTGTGCCTGAGTTCCTGCTAGTGTAGGTACCTCACAGGCCTAGGAAAAATCACTGAGGGATTGAAGAGAGTGAACCTGGGAGTACTGAAGTCTGTACAGTGCAATAGGTGGCATTCAGAATATGGAGGTTCGTTTTATCAACAAGGAGATGTTACAAAATCACAACATATTCCTATCTTTGTTGGTTGCTCTGAAATTAAGGCCTGCTATTTATTTCCATGAAAACTACAATGGATGCAAAGAACATAATAGCACTATTTCATAAGAGGAAATTCTCAGCTATAAAACAATATTTTGTAATACTCACCACCATCACTTATTCGTGTTCACCAGCAATGAATACTTGCAGTAATCTGCACCAGCAGAGGTGACCAACTGTCACTGTTGCCATGGCTGAAATGCACACCCACCACCTCACTGTGCTCCCATTCACTGCTTGGTCTCCATCAACTTCCACCCCTTCATTTCATGATTTTCTGGTTCATATATACTTGCATGTCAGACGCCATTCTGTCAGACTGCTGTCATCTGTCATATGGCAACAAAATACATCAGAATCAAAGAATCACAGAATCGTTAAGAACAGAAAAGACCTCTAAGATCAACAAGTCCAACTGTCAAGCCATCGCCATCATGAACACTACGTCCCTCAGTGCCACGTTCACACAATTCTTGAAAACCTCCAGGGATGGTGACCTCACACCTCCAGCTGAACTACGACAGCAGAGGTCCAATCTCTCCCAAACCACCATACCATGACCATCCACCTCTGATATCGTGGGCCAAAAGATAATCTAGGAGGCACTATTTTCAGAGCATCTTTCTTAATTACATTCATAACTTCAAAGTGTGCACATCACATCTCCCACTCTGTCTCTGCTGGTAGCACTGAGAGGACCAAAAATACCTCCCTGAATCAGCAAAGACGCGAGTCTTTGCACAGCGAGCACAGCCTGGCCCCGCAGACGCCGCTTGCTTCCCCCATCGCCGGTAGCGCCCCAGGGGCCGACACGGCGCGGCCGACATCGCCCGTCTCGCGGGCAGCCCCTTGCCAGGACAGGAGGGAATGGGCGGGAAGGGGCGGGCCGGGCCCATCGATGGGGGCGGCCGCTCTGCACTCGGCTCCTCCGCCCTGCCTCTCGGCTCTGGATTAGCGAAACTGGCGACGTGGGACGGTCCCCGGCCCGGCCCCGCGCCCTGCCTCGCCCGCCGGGGTGAAGCCGGGACTCCCTACCCGCCGGCCGAGCCGCAGCGCAGTGCAACGCAACGCACCGAGGAGCCGAGGGCCGCCGCGCCGTCCCTACGGGTGGGACGCGGGGCCGGCGCCGGGCGGCAGAGGCGCGCTCCTCCCGCAGCCCCGGGGGGTGAGAGCGGGCGGCGGGTCCGGGTCCGGGGGGCGACGGGCGGGCGCTCGGCGGGGCCATGGCGCTGCGAGCGCGGGCGCTCTACGACTTCAGGTCGGAGAACCCGGGGGAGATCTCGCTGCGGGAGCACGAGGTGCTGAGCCTGTGCAGCGAGCAGGACATCGAGGGCTGGCTGGAGGGCGTAAACAGCCGCGGCGACCGCGGCCTCTTCCCGGCCTCCTACGTGCAGGTGATCCGCGCCCCCGCCGCCGAGCCGCCGCCGCCCGCCCGTTACGCCAACGTCCCCGCCGGCGGCTTCGAGCCGCTGCCGCCGCCCGCCGCCTTCAAGCCGGCCGCGCAGCAGCCCGAGCCCTTCCCGCTGCCGCCCGCCGCCGCCGGGTACCCCTTCCCGCCGGCGCCCTACGGCGGCTCCTACCAGCCCAGCCAGGGCAGCGATGACGACTGGGACGACGACTGGGACGACAGCTCCACGGTGGCGGACGAGCCGGGAGCCCTAAGCAGTTCCTACCCCGACTACGAGGCGGCTGGTGGCGGCGCGGCGCCGGGCCGATACCGGCTGTCCACGCGTTCCGAGCTGTCGCTGGGCTCCCGCGGCGGCGGCCACCCCGCGGGACACCCACACCCGTCCGGCGGCGGCGGGGCCAAGAGCTCGGCCACCGTGAGCCGCAACCTCAACCGCTTCTCCACCTTCGTCAAGTCGGGAGGGGAGGCCTTCGTGCTCGGAGAGGCGTCGGGCTTCGTGAAGGACGGGGACAAGCTGTGCGTGGTGCTGGGCCCCCGCGGCCCCGAGTGGCAGGAGAACCCCTACCCTTTCCAGTGCTCCATTGAGGACCCCACCAAGCAGACCAAGTTCAAGGGCATGAAGAGCTACATTGCCTACAAGCTGGTGCCCAGCCACACCGGGCAGCAGGTGCACCGCCGTTACAAGCACTTTGACTGGCTCTACGGGCGCCTGGCTGAGAAGTTCCCTGTCATCTCCGTGCCCCACCTGCCTGAGAAGCAGGCTACTGGCCGCTTCGAGGAGGACTTCATATCCAAACGTCGCAAAGGCCTGGCCTGGTGGATGGACCACATGTGCAGCCACCCCGTGCTGGCGCAGTGTGATGCCTTCCAGCATTTCCTCACTTGTCCCAGCACGGATGAGAAGGCCTGGAAGCAGGGCAAGCGCAAGGCCGAGAAAGACGAGATGGTGGGTGCCAACTTCTTCCTGACCATCAGTGTCCCCACTGGCCCTGGGGCTGTCCTGGACTTGCAGGAAGTGGAAAGCCAGGTGGATGGCTTCAAAGCCTTCACAAAGAAGATGGATGAGAGCGCCCTGCAGCTTAATCACACCGCCAATGAGTTTGCCCGCAAACAAGTCACTGGATTCAAGAAGGAATATCAGAAGGTGGGGCACTCCTTTAAGTGCCTCAGCCAGGCATTTGAGCTGGACCAGCAGGCCTTCTCTGCTGGCCTCAACCAAGCTATAGCCTTCACTGCAGAAGCCTACGACACCATCGGGGACCTGTTTGCAGATCAGCCCCGACAGGACCTAGATCCTGTGATGGATTTGTTAGCGCTGTATCAGGGGCATTTGGCCAACTTCCCAGACATCATCCATGTCCAGAAAGGTAACATCCTTATATATTTTATAAAATGGTAGTTACATAAATTGGTGATGTGCAGACAGATGTAGGAACCAGCAGCTAAACATGCTGCATCTGGCTTGCTGGCCTTGGGTTAAATGTTTATGTGTTTACTCAAGTAAGCTGTTGCTAAAAAATACCCAAAACACATCAGTGACAGCTTTCATTCTTTGCCAGGAGGTGCACACTTTGTTGGGAATTTTATTGGTCAGAGGTTACTCAGTTTGGCAGCGGGTCACTGAAAGAATCCACATCTACCTTTATGACTGATACATTAAGGATCAGTGAGCTTGTTTATAACCCCCAGTATTAGAAAACATCTCTTCCCGTTTGATGTACGTTAGGTATCTTAGATCTCCAATGTTGCAGATAGTAAATCAGGAGCAATCTAAAGATGCAGATACTGCAGTTGAGCACCTAGTCTCAGGTATGCATAGTATTACTTTCTTTTTGCAGCATCAGATGTTTAGATGAGATGTTGAAAGCTGTTGGTATTTGTCAGTTTAGCCTTGCATTAAATCTCTTTTCATGCCTTTGGTGGGGATAATGATCAGTGTTCATAGTTTTGGTGATGGTGATTCTCAGCCAGGCGCCCGTAGAGCCAGTCAAAGTGCTTGTAACGGCGGTGCACCTGCTGCCCGGTGTGGCTGGGCACCAAAAATTGAGTTTTTCATACGTTGTCCTAGTTATCATGGAAAAAACATTGCTCACCTGTTATCCTGTCAGCAACTTTCTGTCTCAAACTTGCTTCTGAATTTCACATTGCTGTTCTTGTAACACCCTGTGATCCATCGGAGGGAGAGAAACACCAAGCATGAAAGAATTGTCTGCTGGATAACTAGGGTCACGTGTTCAGAAAACAGAAGCGTGGAGCACTGTGTATGTGTAGGTGATATCCCTGCTGTGAACTTAATGCTATTCATATCTTTGTCACCATTGTGAGAAGAATAGCCCATTGTTCATTCTTCTTGCTGTTATATTCTTGACCTGTGGCTTTCCAATGGCACAGAGACTTAGAAAAACTCACCTATCATGTAAAGAAATTGGCATGCTTAATATTTATATGACAAAATGAAGAGCTTCTTTGCAGGAATTAATTTTGTAAATTTGTAAGAGTTGGTCTGTATACTGAGCGGCAGAGCTTTGTCTGTGGCCCATGTCTCTGGCCCTTATGAGACTTTTTCAAGTGCTAGGAATCTTGAGTTTTATGATAAAATGATCAGAGAAATTTTTTCAATAGATTACAAAGGTAGACTTTCTGGAGGCATGCATTATTGCTGGAAATCTGAGGAGGAAGAGTTAATAAAATGTATACAGTTTGTTGTTTAAGAGAATGTTTCACTTAAAAGTACGTGCATTAAGTTCAGATTTTTGTTCTCCTGTTGAAATTTGAAATTATTGAGTGGAAACTTCAATAATCCTGACGTTATTTTGAGGAGAAAATGGAAGAGTGCAATCTGACCTTTCACGATTTGTTGTGCTAGCTGGTGTGTCATTGTATTCTGATAATAGCTCTTAAATATTTTAAATTTGGAGAGAAAGGAGACTTGGCAATGTCTCATGTTTGGAAGTAGACTACTTTAAAGTGAGATTTCAAATAATGGTAGGATTGTCTGTAAGTTTCTGGAAGGAAAAGATTATTTTATTGGGTCAAATAAAACAGTAGAAGATATATACTACTTAAATCCATATCCTAAAGTTGTTAGATACTGTAGAGGTTCACACAGTAGGTTTTTTTGGAGGCTTTACCTTGAGAAGAGAATGGGGAATAATATGATACGTGCTTCACTCAACCCACATTTCCTACAGATTGCACATTGCTGTTTCTTTTTCAGTTCTGTTTGAATTTACACGTAGTGGTTATATTTACCTTCTAAAACTGGGGAAAAATCATCTAAATGAGCTTCCACCAGAGCAGTGCATGAGCGTGACATATGTTGAGTTGATGTTGTGCCAGAAGACTGTCCTGGAGCTGGTTGGAGGAACGTACAGCCAGTCTGTGTGCGTGTGTTAATGTTCCAGCACCTCTGGGCCAACGTTGCCTTCAACAGAATGTTATCCTTAGTACATATTTGTTATTAGGAAATGGCTTGGGTTTGAAAGGTTGGTCTCCTGAGTGTTCATAATCGCCTCAAGAATAGGGTTAGAACTAGGTTATACATGTGTTGTTGTTGTTCCCTGTACAAGAGATAAACTGAAGAAAAATTGAGTAAAAATACTTTTTTAACCCAATTTATTGCTGTTTTATTACTCTTAAGAGTTACTTGTAACAAGGTATAGCTTCTCAATTTCAAATTGCAAACTCTGATGAAAACACGAACCATTTGGTCTTTTTGCGATAAGACCTTTCTTTTAAATTTATGACCTGGGATAGTTGCCAGTATTTGAGAATTATTATTGTTTTTATGTACCAAACAAAAATCTGTTGGTGAAAATAGATGAACTGAAAGCAGAGTTGTGTCCTTTCAGTATTGTATTTTCTATTGTACAGTATTTGTGCAGTGAAATGTCCCAGCAGTGACCTCTGAAGTGGTACACACAGCAGCCTTTGGATTGATACATTGGCAACGTGGGCATGACTGTAGAAAGAATTTATGAGCGCTCCTCCATTTTTTCCTACCTAGTGCAAATATATTGTTCATATATATGAAGCTGTTTGTAGATTCCGTTTCTGTATTCGTTTGGATTTAAGAAGGACCAGAAAGAAAGGCAGCTGTGCCCAAATCATATATTAGAATGCATTGCTTATTAAGGATTTGATTTACTGCAGATGAGCAGCTGCTTGATGTGATTTGGAAGTGTTTTGTGCTATGAACTGAGAAGTCTGCATGTCTGGGTTCTTTAATAATTTCTACAAATTTTCTTCTGCAAGAAGGCCAAACAACTTTAACTGAAGGCAAGAATCTTCCTCCATTTGGTCTTTATGTATTCTAGAATTAAGAACCAAAGCCACATAAACCCACTGTTGCTTTGTCTGTGCATCAGCAGGTAAATATATTATCCCTTGTGCTTATAACTGCTCAAGGATCCAGATCTTTATACATCCTCTGTGAGTACATCTGAAATCTGCAAAAAGAGATTTTCATTTTGGTCACTTCAGTGTAAACATGAAATCCAATGGAATATTTTCAAGTTTTTGTTATTACTATATTTTAAGTATTTAGTTAAATGGCAATAGCTTCAGTGAGGTATTTTTTAAGGCTCCTCTTTCTGTGTCTTCTTGCTGTTGAGTACCCAGTATTAAGGGATTTTCTATGAGGGAAGGAGGAGTTAAATTTCCTGCTCCAAAAGAAATGGAGGAGGGATTTGAACTTCATTCTCCCATCCTCCAGCTGAGAACCAGCTTGGCAGTGCTTTATGAGAAACCTTAACCCATTTTGTGTGTGCTCCAATCCAGGTCTGAAGGTTCATTGGATTGAGCCCTACAGTGAAGAGCGTAATGGGATGGAAATGCTGCAGTTCCATCTGGAAGTGCTCAGGAAGAACTTCCCACTGAGACTGGAAGCAGAGCATTTCTGTCCCAAGACACAGATTCCTTACAAACAAGTTGTTGAGATACATTTTATTTTGAAAACTAAGTGCTTATGGGAAAAGTGACCTTTGTAGGAGGAGGTGATGGTAGAGTGTGGTCTCTGAGCATCTAAGCACCCAAACTCCTAAAAATCTAGTCCTCAACCCCTCATAGGAAAGTTTGTCTAGCATGCTTATGTGAAATATTCCTGTGCATACCTGTGTTTTTTGGAATGGAAGATGCAAATAGTTAGACAGATATACTTGTACTTAGTTTTCTTTTGCCTCTGGCAAAACGTTTGTAAACAGGAGTATTAAGTTCAGTAGGCCTGATAACTGATCTGCACCTTTGCTCATCATTGTCATTTTGCAGAATTAGCGTGTCTTTCAAGAAATAATACATTCAGTTGCTTTAGTCTTGAGAAGAAAAACATCCTGTCGTCTTTATTTATGTGTTTTTAAGGTCTACTTGTGGAAATTCCCTAGGCAATTTTGGCAAAATAATTCCTAAACAGTAATTACTGTATCTTCACTAAACTAATGAGATTGCTTTACTTCCATAATCTTCAGCACATACTGCAGGCTGGTGCAAGTTTAGGTTCAGGAAATGTATGCACATGTAAGAATTTGAAATGGTATATGTGTGTATACAGTTGGTGTAGTGCATTCTTGTCTGGCTGTCTCATTGTGATACTTGCATAGTGAGAGTAGAGAAGTTATTGGAGTTTGTTTGTTTCCAATCCTCTTTGAGGAATTATTATAATAGGACTTTTTTTTTTTTTTTTTTTTTTTTTTTTTAAATTTCTGTCAGTGGAAGAAACACTGGCTGACTTTGTTTCATTTCTGCTTTCCAGAACCATTCTTTATTGTATTTTGTTAACACTAAATAAATTTCTGATTACAATTTTTGCAAAACGCACTTGAAATAGTGGTTTACAAACTCTCTGAGATGTAGGTGGTACACCAGGATCTAAAATAATTATTTTAAGAATATCTGAATGATGCAATTACTTTTTCATCACTGTTTGTGAAAAGTAAAATAAAGCAAATATCCTTATTTGCTTGAAGCAAATTTAATTCTGCACATTGGCTCTAAAAATGTGCTGGGTGTTGTTTTAGAGTAACTTTAATGGGGTGAAACAGCATTCCAGCTGTTAACACATTGAAATTTCAAGCATGGAAAAGCCCCAAACAGCACTGAAACCTGGAGTTCTCTTTGATGTTTTCTGCAGTTCTTGTGGGACCGGGAGGAGGGAGAGGGAAGAGGGCTTGGTGCATCACTGAGCGAATAAGGCTGGTCAAAATTCATGCCTAATCGTTAATAACAATGTAAAAGCAGTGCCCATTTCTCTTGCTTGCTTTCTAGCTCATTAAATTTGTTGTAGAGACTTGTTCTTTCCTCTGTCTCTTATTTTTCCTTTTATCCACCTTCTTCTGTCTCTGGTACACAAACACATATACCTTGCATGGAGTTCAGCTCAGTTAACTTAAGTGCCTGAAAGCGGGGCATGTAATCCTAGCCAGATGACCCCTATAGCAGTAAAAAGAGATGGATACCAATGTTTCAGGTGCTTAAGGACTTTTGATGAACAAGAATGGATTGTCTTAGGATGTCTGCTGCCATCTCTCTCAGCTTCCCCATTGTTATTACAAGAAAGATGTGGCATTTTTATACTTGCTGCCTGAATCACCCAGTTTCAACCTCCCACTACTTGAAAGTGGCCTAGAAGAAATAAATGTTTAGGTGTCTAAATCCTGAAAGGATCCTCACAGTTAGTATCAGTGTAAAGTTACAGTTTCCTTTGTGTGTGTAAATCACACATCAACCAAGAATGGACAGGGCTGAAATTGAGCAATGCCCTTATATGAAGGGGCTTAAACAGAAATCAGAACTTTTGTGTCCTATCTGCCAAAAAGTTGCATTTGTCTTTTTAAACTATTGTCTGATTGCTTGTTTTTTTTTCCTTTTTTCCTTCCTCTCCCTTATCTCTTCTTACCTTATCTTTCTGAATGAACAGGATTCATGCAAGTAAGATGTTTCTCTTTCCCAGTACCTTTTGGAACTTGTTAGCCTGATATTCAAGTTTGATGGTTGCGGGACATTTCAAGAATGATAAAATCTCAGTGATTATTTTTCAGCAAACAGCTGGTAGCACAGGAAGGACTGCATGCGTTACTGCACACCCCCAGGTCTGCATGTTGCAGGACTACCATTTAATACCAACAGGCTAGAAGATGTTGACCCAGGCTCACACTTTCAGTTTTGACTGCAGGCAGTGGATATTCTTGAGTTCTTGCTAAATACATGCATTAGAGCTTTGTCTACTGGAAAGACCTTGAGGACAGCTAGAGAGTATCGGGACAATGCAGAAATTAAAGTAGAAATTATTTTGTAAAAGGAAGAAGCAACTTCATTTCAAAGGCTGTGTAATAGCTTTTCATCTTGAAGTTTCTAATAATCGTGGTGGTGAGAAAGGATTCCTTGTCTGCCTACAGCTGGGAGGTTTTCAGGACTTCTATGAATACAGAAATTAACAGAATTGAGATACGGAAAACAGAAAGCAAGTCCTAGAGCTCTCCCAAGTCTTTGTAAGTGCGTTATCAATACTGAACAAGCTGGCTGATTTTTCTATTTTGTAAGTCACCTTTGAAACAAGGACACGTTTCAGCCTTTCCAACATCTTTTCCATGACTTCATCGTTAGAATTTGTTTGAACAGTTAAAATGCCAAGTTAAAGTGTGCAGACTGTATAAACTCATCCAGATGGTACCTTTTTTATTTTGAATTGCCTCATTCAAACAGCAAAGATTGGAAGTTTTAATAAAAAAAAAAAAATGAAATCACATTTGGCGTAGCCCCCAAAGCTTTTACCTTATCAACAGACTGGATCAAATAAATAGCAAGTGCTTACTACACAGTGTAATATATATCCTTCATGAAGGCCATGAGGATGAACTTCAATAAAATTTATTTTAAAAACATTAAAAATGCGTTTTAAAATTTTGAGTCAGTGCCTCATGAAATCGGGGCCAATATCTGTAACTTAACAATCTGCTCGGGCCTTGTTAGTATCTTTGGGCTGTCCAGCCTGTTTTGGGTAGGTATACATCATATTTGGGCAGCTTCTCAGGTTGTGATGAGCAAAGCTGCCCTTTTTATGTTTGTATGGAATGTGAAAAGCAATGCAAAAAGCAGATTAATGCTTTGGTTTGCCTTGGCTGTTTGTATTGCAAGGAAGAGTCTTCTTCGCTTTGTCCTCACAGATATGCTGCAGCATGCAGGTTTCTAAAAGAGAACATCTAGATGCACTAGGGAAAAATGGAGCAGGATCTGCATTTGATTTGCATCTCTACTCTTCTCATATGAAGTTATGTGAATGAGCCATGCATGTTATATTTGCTCACCCTAGGACTGTTGTAGAACTATGCAGAAGATGGTGGGCAATCAGACTCTGTGAATTGTCCTCATTTTTAGCATCTCTTTTGCCTTTTTGGGAGAAAACATCCACAAGCAGGTCTTTCAAAGCAGGGATAGGTGAAATCTGCATTTATACTTTTCTTGATAACATTGTAATATAGTTATTGATATATTTTGTAACCTTTGTTCTCCTTTCCATACATATCCTATAAAATCTGAGAAAATTTTGAAGCTGCTGTTTAACACTACGTTGCTTATATCAGCTTTGGCAATACCTTATATTCATCTTCTATAGATCTGCAGTGCCTGTTGTTACTCTTGAATGTAAGCTCCTAAGACATGCTTAAAGTCACAGAGAAGTTTCATCTCAGTACTTGTGTGAGTTGCAATTGCTTACATTTTTAAGTGCCTGTCCAGAAACTGTTCAGTCACTTACAATGTTACTTGCTTTTTGAAGGGCAGATGTATTGCATTTCTAACTAGCTTGATTTTACAGTTCATGCCTTTATGTACTTCTAGCATCAGCTGAAGTGCTTTAGAAGCAAACCTCCTTAAACTGGAGATAGATTGTACTTTCCTACATTTCTGTCTGAGAACTGGGTAAAGTCTGTGTTAAGGAATGTTTGCCTCAAAAGCTGTGATGCGAAATGCTATGTTTGTGATAATAGAAAGCAGTGGACATCATTTAGCTGGATTAAATTTCTGCAGACAGTCCTTCTCTCTGGCATCTTTATAGGTAATGTGCAGTGAGAGAACACTTGCAAGCACATGCTACAGTATTATAGTCGTTTGCTGAAAATGCTGTCTGCATATGATACATCTAAAATGTATGTATTTTAAAATTGCTGCATACAACCTTTGAAAAAATAACCTTTCAAAAAGTTTTCACAATTTTTACCTAGCAGTGTGTGTTCTGTTAATGGGATTGTGCAGAGTGATAGATGCTTGTTATTCAGTTGTGTTTGTGTCCTTCGTTTAGCTGTCTTGTTCTCACCTCCTCTTATCAACATTTTTAAAGGCAAACTGTGTCGTGTGACTTCTTTTGTCCCCTGCCTGGCTTACTGTAACATCCTTGCTGGAGCTGCTAGATTTATATGGGGGACTCTAGAGCCAGTGTGCACCTTGACAATGTGATCGTGAGCACACTCAAGTATGATAATGGTCATTGTTTCACTGGATAAATAGGTGGGCCATACCCTTCCTATATGTGCACACCAGTTCACAGCTGTATGCGTAACAACTTAATCAGATCTTAAATCAGTCTTTTTTTTTTTTTTTAAGATTGCAGTTAGGCATGTATAGTATCCATTAGCACTGGCACTTCATTTAAAATTGAATGACATTTGACACTGTGCCTTCTAAAACCATTATTAATCTGTTAGTAGGAATTAAATCAATGTGCATGCTAAAACCACCAGAGACTGAAATTTGTCAAGTTTCTGAAATCCATGGAAAAGACTGCTTTTTTGTTGCATGATATCTGCATTGTGTAAACCAGAGCATGGTTTTATATGAACTGAAGAATACATGTAAGTGACAGCTTTCAGTGAGCTTTGCAGCAGAGTAGCTGGAAGAAAAAATGGTTCTGTCTGACATTAATAATGCTGCAGTCAGTCAGCGTTAGCCTGGACATTAGCAGAACCCTGTGATTTGTGAGCCTGAATTTATGGGACAGTGTTATTTGACTCTGATCTTTTTGAGCAATGGCATAACAAAAAATATTTCCTGCTTATCCTTAACCACAGATAAGCTGCATTTTCTAAAACCATTAGAGCAACTTTCCCATATCTGTACAAACCCCTTTAATACTGAAGTAATCATCATTTTAAATATTTTGCTTTAAATTTCTGACTTACTTTCAGGAGGAAAAATAGAATATCCTTAAAAGAGTTTTCCTCCATCAAGGAGAAGAATATGAATTAGAAAGTTTTGTTTTGAAAACTGTTTCATGTTGACACTTTCAGGAAAGACAAGTAACTTCCTCATTTTGCCTTCGATGTTGAAGATTGCTTGGTTTTTTTTTGTTTGTTTGTTTGAGCTTAAAACTCTAAAACCAGATTTCAAAGTAGGGGGTTGTTCCTTCATTAGTTACAGTATTGCTACATTTTCACTGTGACCTTCTTTTGTGCAGTTAAGTCTGTATTGGAGGATGCTTCTGCTTTTAATTTCAGGGGAATTCCCATTATACTGCTTTCCATTCTAAATCTCTGCCAGAAAATGTAAAGAATTTGCAGAATCTTAACTTAATGTAGGCTCCTTTTGTTAATCTGTGCTCACAGCATTCTTAAGCAAATAATCTGTCAGTGTAATAAAATCTCTATTCTACCACACATTGTTTCATCATTTTGATTTGAACCAAGAGTGGGAAGTTTCAGAGCTTGCTTCAGAGTGGGATTCCAAGTGAGGTGTAATCCCACCTGGTGCTGCTGCTCGTTCCCATGTTTTGGAGGTCATCACTGCATAGCCGAGAGCGAGCTGGCTGGAAGTGCTGAGCCATCAGTAATGCTAAGCCCCATGGGCTCCTCTCCTCCAGGCCCGATGCGGGCTCTATGGAGTTACTGATGGCGGCCGGCCTCATGCAGTGATGTAAGTGGGATGGCCATGTAGGTGGCATCAGCCTGATGGTGGGAGACCTGTTCCTGACAGGGTTGTTTGTTTCAAAAAGAGAGTAAATCAAAGCTGCACCTACATGCGTGTGGGCTGCCTGGGGTTTGTTGCCAGCCTTTCAGCAGAGAGCTGTAGTTAAAAAAAACTCATTATCAGGTTCTGTGGTAAGAGAAGAGTAAACTCATTTCTTGTTACTTTTTCTGCTTTTGCATCCTTTTATGAAAGCCACTGAAAGTTATGTGAGGTATTTCTCCCTCTTCTTAGAGATCATGTCTGATAAAGCAAAGGGAGTTGATGTTTGAAGTTCTCACTTCAGTAGTGAGTGGTGTGCTTTAAAGGCCGCTGTAGACGCCTATGTTGTACACTTTAATATGATGGGTGGCCGAATGGCATGGAAGCACAAGTTATTTTGCTTCCTAGCAAGTGATGCTCCAAATCTTATTTTGTTGTTTGCAGACGGTTGGAAAGCAAAACTGAATGTATTACATAGGTCACTGGATTGTCACAGGACTTCTCAGATCAAACTGCTGAACAATCCTCTTTGTTAAAACCCTGAGTTTCTGTGAAGAACACTATTTTTTCTGACTTCGGCTTTCTTTCCTCATGAAGAAGTCATCCTTTAGAGGAACCTTTGTACTTTGACACAAATTCTTGAGGGAGGCTGTCTCATCAGACCTTTTTGGCCTCTCAAAGGAGGCATTCAGGAGCCTGCTGCTCTTTGTTTGTGCCACACTTGCCACTGATACAAAAGCCAGAACAATCACGTTCCCCAGATTTTTCCACCCTGCCATTTCTAGGGCTACTCTCTTTCTCAGTGCCATTTATGAATGGAATAAATGTGGATTTGTTTTTGGGGTGGTTGATGTTCCTGCACTGCATTTGCATTGCTTCTTCTCACCTGCAGCAGGATCACCACCAGACCTACAATGCTGGCGGTGAAAGAGCAGCACGTGAGGAGAAGCATGTGGCTTTTTCCCCCAGCCACATTAGAGATATAATTCAGAAGACTCTTCTCTGAAATGTGTCAAGAAGTACCACAGGGCTAACTTCTTTCTTTCTATATCTTCTTTCATTCATTTTGTGTTTTGTCTTGTTTTTCAGCATTTCTCTAGCATGAGGTATAAAGAATAACAAAAGTGTAGAGTTTGAAGTAAAGTTTTGTAGTATCATAACAATTTACACATATGTCAGTTACTTGTGAAAGAAAATTAGTTGTTTCAGTTTAGCATAGAATCATAGAATCTAGACTTGGAAGGAACCTTTAAAGATCATCTCATCCAATTCTGCTGCAATGAACAGGGTCACCTACAGCTACATCAGTTTGCTCAGAGCCCAGTCCAGCCTGGCCTCGAGCATCTCCAGAGACAGGGCACCCATCACCTCTCTGGATAGCATGTTCCAATGCCTCACCTCCTTTATTGTAAAAAACTTTTTCCATATATCCAATCTAAATTTCCCAACCTTTAGTTTGAAAATAATTCATCATTAAGTGAAGGAAATATTTGAATATATGTGATTACAATTTTAGTATCTTAAAAGTTAACTTCCTTCTTCAGTCTAAGTAAGTTTTTAAGTTCATTATTTTGGACTGAAATACCAAAGACACTGGTGGTATACGTTCTAGAGCATGACTGTGAGACACAGACCTGCCTAAATTCTCAGACCCTCACTGCTGCTGCCATATGTTGTATTTTAGTCATCTCATCTCACATTGCAAGTCCATAGGTAATACTGCTGTATGAAGTTAAATCACTGCTGTTTAGATTGCAATTTCGTAGATCTTCTTCAGAAGAGAGGCACAGTTTTGAGCAGTAGCAGTGCTGACTGCTTCTATTTTCGAAGATTTGAGCAAGCCTAGCCATGAAACAGATGTCACTTGTACTAAGCACTGTACAAAAACAATGCAAAAAGGGGCACCTGACCCAGAGAATTCCCTTTCTTGAGGTTTTTCTTCATTTGAATTCATGACTCCAGGTGCAGCTGGAGTTTCCCTGTTTCTCCTGTATGCCCATTCCAAAGTTGACATTCATGTGCTGCATTGAGGAGTGAAGCTGAGCCATGGGAAGTTGTTTTCATGAGCTCTGATCTCCGAGACTTCTGCATTCTAGTGACAGTGCAAGAGTGCAAGCTGCAGGCTTGGGCAGCATTGCGCATGCTAGACTTGAGGAGCCAGGTTAGGGCTAGCTGCTGGCAGCTGATCATATGTCATTTGTTGTTACCCATTCCCCATGGATAAACAAAGGCTTAGAGATACGTATACCTCCATGTGATATGATCTGCATTTTGGCTTTGGTGCACATGCTTACAGAATGGAGGACAGCGAGTATGTGCTCATGTGTAGGTTTGAACCAATCCTTGGTTGACTGCTCACACTATCTCAAAGCATTTTTGAGTGTGATAAAACTGCAGTTGATTGGAAAATGTATTGTTTGACCCAAACCTGAATGCTCTCAGGTTGGAAAAAATATTTTTTTAAATTTTGTTTTCCTGAATGTGTTTAATTTCTTCTGCTTGATTGCAACCTCACGCTTGCATGACCAGCTTCCTTACTCAATACACTTCTTTTTTTGCCTAGTAACCCCTCTGAGCCTATTTAAATTGCTATTTGTATAGCGTGTTTCACAGCTTGGGACTATTTATTTTTAGCAGAGTCTTTGTTGCCTCTGTCTTCATGGCTGCTAGCACATCGCTATAAATGTTCCTTGTTAAACATGTTCATATCATCTAGTGTTGTCTAATCTCTTACTTCAAAGTAAGTACTGAAACCTGTGAGTTTCTAAAAGCCCATAGCAGCATTCAAGAAGCAGAATTATCTATTTAACATCAGGCTTTGGGGAGATGAAAAATAGCATTCACATCTGCTCTTCCTTACTTTTGGGAACAGAAATAGATATAGCACAGCCTTTTGCAGTGTCTGCAATCCAAGCTGTTTTTGCTCATTGAAAGGTAGCCCTGGTCCCTGAAATCTCCTCTCTGGACACAGGAGCTTTTAATCAAACCAGAAGGTTTTATGCGCAGGGAAATCTCTACAAGTTTCAGCAAGCATCAGTGAATGTCAGCAGGTGCCATTTTTTCCACATGGAGGAATTCACTTCTTTGATGCCATTTTGTCAGACTGCCCCTCTGCTGCCACTTGTCCTACGGCAACAACATGTAACAGAATACTGGCAGGAAGGTTCAACCTCTACTGCCACACCACCAGCACCTGCCTCTGATGTCGTGGGCCAACAGGATACAGCAGGAAGCATTACTTTCAGAGCAGCACTCATAAATTAGGAGGTGCCTCTTTTGATGCTTTTTTCCTAAAATGTGAAAAAGCCTTTTCTAGAGCAGCCAGAATTCTGTTTGTTTGATTTTGTTTGTTTCTTTGTAAATACACCTTTCTGTTTTGGATCATCCAAACCAACACTTGATGTTCAGATTTCTGAATCCAGGAACCAGGAGATTGGAATGGAATACTTGGAAGGGACCTGCAGAGGTCATTGATCCCACCCTCAGGGACTGTTGTTGGCATGCTCAGCCCGGCCACATGACCAGGAGGTGCAGGTGTGTGTGAAAGGGTCAGGAGGGGCTGGCCAGGCCAAGGAAAGGTGCATATATCAGTGTTAATGAAGCTGCTTGCAAAGCTGTGCAAGCAAATAACACTTTTTTTCTCCTAAGATTTGCTAAACTAAAGCTTGCAAGCTTCAGTAGATGCTGAATTAGTTAAAATTTATATTTGAATGTTTTTATGATTGATTTTTTCGTGATTGCGTATCTTTTTAAATAAAGCATGGTTTTTTTTGTATTTGGGGAAGGTTCAGTGATTCTTGTACAATAACTTAAGTTTTTCTCTTTATGAGGTTATCTTAAGGTTAATTTTTATTTTTTATGGTTAAGGTTTTACTGATAATACAAGTCATTTAAAGGTACATGATGAAAAAAAAACAAAAGGAAATCTGTGCTTAAGCAGATCTGTGATCTCCAGTTGTAGTCTGTAGATTTTAAAGGAAAATCCAATGAAATACCTGCATGAAAACATCTGTGTTATAAGAACTGTATCAATGGCTGCAAGTTTTCCTTTTGGATTCCTTTTCCTAATTGTAAATCCCCTCTCTCCCCCCCGCCCCCCTCCTTTTTTTCCCCATTTTAATTGGCAAAAAAATCATAATGTATAATATTTGTAGTCTGGAGGAACTGTTTGGTAATTAGCATGGTTATTATTGATGTAAAATATTCAGAAGATTCATGAACTTTAGCTGCTGATGCTGTCAATTTCAGTATTTTTTCTTCCAGTTTAGTCATTCTAGAAATAACATCTAATGTTGTTTCCCACATCACAACCAAGGAGTTGTTATATTTATTTAACCAGCTCCATCTGGCTCCCGGTAACTCCCAAATTTCATTTTTTTCACAGCCTTGCACAGCGTCCTCCAATGCAAACAGAATGCAGAAGGAAAAAAAAATTACCATGTGGGTTTTTGTTTGCTGAAAGAAATGTCTTTATTGTCGAAGAGAGGATTCAATATTTTTTACATTGTGTCCTGCCTCATGAATTACTGTCTTTGAAGGAAAAAACACAGTCTTCTGGCACAGATTGATGCTGTGCTACTTACCTGTGGGCTGTTTCTTGGTTTTGTCTTTGGGCTGAAGGCGGTGAGGTCCATGAGCTATAGCAGCTGGTGCCAAGCTTTTAGCTGCCATGCCTGAAGGCCATGGTTCTGGGGAAAGTGTGGGTAGGTGAAGTGTTACCAACCAGCCTGCAGCATCCTGGGGGCCATTGGTCAAATACTTGCATGTTAGGTGACTTGCAAGTCTTTGTTCTAAACTTGCTTTTCCTGCCACAGTGGCAGAAATGGTTCCTGTGGTCTTACTGCAAACCAGGGAGTTTCTGGAGCTCCTGAAGCACGTACCACGTCTGAAACTTTTTTAAGGTCCACCATATCATCAGGTACTTTAACTTGTCTCTAGTAAGGATACACAGTGGTCAGGCATTGCAGCCAGATGACAAAGAAGGTAGTGGAGTTCCCATCCCTGGAGATATTTAAGGGACATGTGGACATGGTGCTTAGGGACATGGTTTAGTGGTGGAACTCAGTGGTTAAACAGCCTTTTCCCACCTGGAAGGTTCTGTGTTTCTATGACCTTAGGGATAGGAAAAGGAGCAAACTGCACTGAGCTGTGAGAAATGCTGAAGCAATGGGTGTTCAAAATATCTTGTTAAAAGCCATAGGAAGGAAAGGGTGGAAGACGATGTTACCACAGCAGAACTATGTTTTAATTTGTGAGTGGCGTTTAGAACATAAGGCGATTCAGGCTGATAGTAGACAAAATCACTCCTCCTGGAGTGATTGGAGGTTACCCTTTCAATACAGAGGTAGAGAGGCTTCTCTGTTAGCTTGCTGACTCCCTTCACTGCAGGGAGTATAGAAAAGCATTTCTTCAAGGCAGTGTAAAAAGTCCTGTCCATGAACTGTAGTCATTTGTATGATATATAGTATAGTACAAAAGAGAGTCATTTGAGACATTGCAGCTAGAAACAGAGTCACAGAGCAGCTTAGGTTGGAAGGAATCCCAAATATCATCCAGCTCCAACCCCCATGCTGTGGGCAGGTTTGCCAGAGTCTAGATCAGGTTGCCCAGGGCCCCATCCAACTTAGCCTTGAACACCTCCAGGATAAAAGTTATGACAAATACGTATAATGAACATTTTTTGGAGAAGTCTAAAGCTGCATTGGTCTGACTATTCCTAGTTTTATGAATAAGTATGTTGTTCCTAAGGATAATAAGTTGCTTTTCTGGGAAACTGAGCTTGTGAAAATTAATATTAAGATTCATCTTGGTGTTCTATGTCACTATCTGCTTTTGGTGAAGGTTTTGTGAGATGTGTCGTTTAATCAGCTGTTTGGAAGAGAAAGGTTCCTTTGCTGTATTTTTTAGCATCTCTTACAAGACTGTGTTATTTCTGCCTGGACTTCTGTAGCTTTGAAATAAACTTTTAGATTCTCCAGTCATCATTAATATTTGGGGGTATCTGTACTGTAGAAGCAGAATGATGCATTGTTATTTTGTGTATTCAGATCTGCTTTTGATGTTTCACGAAGCCTGAAAGAGTTCAACGTTTCAGGACAGACTTCTGAATGATGTTACTTTTTTGGTGTTAATTGAAGCCTAAATCCATTTTTTTTACCTTTTTTTCTCACTATCAGTGTATTTATTGATTATTCTCCAAAATACATGAATAATCTCATATTTTAAGATTGTGAAATAGGCATGTTTTCTCTTACTGACTTTTGCAAACTAAAGCCTTGCTTTCTAAAATGATACAGTATTCTGTGATTTTTTAATCTGGAAAAGTTCTTTATACACATAAATGCACTCAGAAAAGGCTTTGTACACATTGTTGTTATTAAATCACTTTGAAGTACAGCAAAGTGTAGATTGTTCTCACAGTTAAACTCTTCTGTTCTCTTCTTTACACAGGAGCCCTCACCAAAGTAAAGGAGAGTAAGCGGCATGTGGAAGAGGGGAAGATGGAGCTCCAAAAAGCAGAGGGCATTCAAGAACGCTGTAACATTATTTCTTTTGCGACCCTAGCAGAAATTAATCATTTCCACAAAATCCGTGTGAGGGACTTTAAATCACAGATGCAGCATTTCTTGCAACAGCAAATACTCTTTTTTCAAAAAGTGACACAAAAGCTAGAAGAAGCTCTTCACAAGTATGACAGTGTTTAATCTCTGGACTTCAGTTTGTGGACTTTGCTCAGTATGAGCATGACTTAAGCAGCGGAACAAACTCTGTTGCTGTTAAAGAGCTATTACCAGTGGTAGATGTGGTACAAGAATGTTTGTGTTCACTTGGAATCGGGATTTTATCAGAGTATGTAGGAAGGAAACAGTTATAGGGCTATGTAGTAGAAACAGTACCACGCATTATAACTAAGTTATACTGTGTATGCCTACACTACCATTGTAACTTTTTTGAAATAATGAGTATACTATTTGCCTTATTGCTTTTTGAAACATGGTATTTTAGTGCATACTTTGTAGACCTCAAAACCCTTTGGGTCTTTAAGGAAGTTGGCTAGATAAAAGCCTGCTTCAGCTGCCTTTTTACTTTCCTAGATTTGGATTTCCTAAATTCAAATGATTCTCTGTTTACAGACTCCTACTAGAGCAGCTATGTGATTCTGTGCCTTTAGACTCTATTTTTCCTTTTCTAGTAAGTCACATTTTTACGATTGAATGAATGAAGGGTTGATGCCTATGACAAGAACTGATTATAAAACCTCATATTAACTGGAAATAAATGAGCTGCCATCCAGTTTGCACAGCAAGTACTGTCTTATGATAAATGTTGGCTCAAAAGTAGAACTTAAATCTATTCAGACTTTCCCTGAAAGTGGAGACTACTTGTTACATGTACTAGGATGTTAAGCACATATACAAAGTACACCACTGACCCCCCTTTCAAAAATGAATATTACGCTGAGGGGATTTTAGTATAAAGCATTACTGTGAGTGGAAATTTGAACTAGCCTAATAACAGGGATGCTTATCATGGGGATATAAATGCAGGCTATGTTGATAGAACTTTTGTAAGTAGGAAATTATTTCCTCATTGTTCAGTTGCTGATTCAGTTTAACTTCAGACTTGCATCTACATTGCCTGTTGTCTAAGTTGGGACTCCACTGTGATTCATTAGTCTACTCTAAGGTTACAAGTTTTCAGGGATGTTCAGTAGTACAAATGATCTGAAATAAGTCTTGGCTGAACTAACCTGGAAAACAGGTGGCATGTTTATGTTTATAACACTTGTCTTAATTTTTGTATAAATATTTTTGACAAGCAGGGTGCATTTATATATATGTAAACACTATATTTTAAAGAATTTTCTGGCTTATTTCCCTTGATTTAAGTCTGAAGTCTGTTTTTATAACCTATTGGTTCCCTTCTTATCAGTCAGTATCAGAAGGGGTTTGTATTTATCCTATCCTTTTCTTCCTAAACAAAAATAACAGAAACTTCCAAGGAGGTAAAATGTTTCTTCCCTGCCCTGCCCTGCCCTGCCCTGCCCTCCCCTTCCCTCTCCTCTCCTCTCTCTCTCTTTTCTCTTCTCTTCCCTTCTCTTCCCTTCTCTTCTTTCCTTATCACAGATAGAATAAAGAAACAAAATCCTGGAAAACAAAGTTAAGCAATAGTTTCCTTAAAGTACAAATCATTCTTCACCTATGCAGAAGAAATGTCCAGTTATTTCACTTGATCATGTTGGGCTCTGTAGCTTTAACCCCACACCTGTGTTTCACATGTATAAACATGTTGGTTGCTTTGAAAGTAATACCTCCTATTCCATGGAAGCTACAACAGATACAGAGAGCACAATAACACTGTTTGATAGAGGAATTTCCAAGCTACAGTACGCTATATTTCAACACGGTCACCACTGCTTGGCATGCATTTTCAATAGACAGGATGAGAGCCTTCATGCTGCATTCATATACATTGACACAAACAGAGATGACCAGATGTCACTGTTGCCACTGCTGAAATGCGCCACCCAGTGCCTCTGTATGCTCACACCCACTGTTTAGGCTCTATAAACATTCTGCAACCACCGATGAATTTCTGGGTGCCATTTTTTCTGCATGAAGAATTCAGTGACACACCTTTGCATCATCCACACTTCCACGTCAGATGCCATTCTGTCCGACTGCCCTGTGTTGCCATCCTTTACATGGCAACAACATGTAACGGAATATTATTGGGAAGGTTCAGCTTCTACTGCCATACCACCAACACCCACTTCTGATGTCGTGGGCTAACACAATAAAACAGGAGGCATTACTTTTGGAGCAGCCCGTATATACAAATGTGGTTTTGGTTTTAAGATTAAGATTTGGTTTTAAACCCAGAGTGTTTGGCAGATTGCTATATTGACAACTTGCATTTGGCAGTGCACCTAATAATCAAATACAGAATGATGGAGAGGGAAAAATCACGCTGCTTGTAAAAGAAAGGACAATCAGTGAGGAAAGAAGGCATTTGCAGGCTACTGAATGTGTGCTGCAAGCATTGATGTTGACTGTAACATAAGGACCATAATCATAGGGCTGACTTGCTCTTTATCTTCCTCATGGTATTTCATTCTGCATTCAGAAATCGCCACTTCCTGTAACAGCTCTTCCCACTTCTGCTCCAACTTCCTGAGTCATTTAATTATCTGAGCTGTCAATGAGCCAGGTTTGAGCTGTTACGTGGCTTATGGTTGCTTAAGCCAGATACTGTTTTGTTAAATGATTTTGCGGTAATTAGATCAGACTACAATCAAAGTAATTATGTGTGATGGTATTAAGACCTGATCAGAAATCGATCTTGGTCCAGTTGAAGTATTCTAGGAGGTTAGTATTAACGAAATGTACATGTCCATGGGGATATTAAGCTGTGATATGTATACAACATTATGAGACAGGTACAGTTTTCCCAAATAAACTGTCATGGCCTTCACCATACTTTCTCATTTGTGATTTTTTGGGGGCGAGGAGGATGAGGATGTGCTAATTTGTTAAGCCTGAGGTACCGAAAGAGCCTGTCAGGAATCCTGGATCTGAATTGTTGCACTCTGAACAAGTAACTCTCATTCACATTAGCATCTTCTCACACAGAGCCAGGATTAATCTGTAATGGAGCCTAAGTTCCATTCATGCTTAATGCACTGTGTGAGATCTGCAGTTGGAAAAAGAGTCACATTGATCTCCTGTGACTCACAAAATGGTGTGCTCTGAGGTCTGAAGGTACTCTGCAGGGAGGTGTATTTATTGTTGATTTTGGTGAAAGTGCTCCATCCAGTGAAAAATGTAGAACAAACCCATCAGTGGAACATAGCTACACACAACCTGCAAGCAGAAAGTGAATTATGTTTCTGTTTAAGTTTCAGGTTTTTGACTTAGACATTAACAGCCTGCTAAATAGGTCTGTGTCTCAGCCCTTCAGTTGTATGGTGCTTGCAAAGTAAACAGTTGCCTCTGTTTTGTGCCCTGTGTGCATTTTCTAGGTTCTTCCTACCAGAGTCCAAAGGCAGATTACATTTGATTTGGGAGTGTTGCATGACCCAGTTTAGAGAGATCAGCAGTAAGTAAGGTCGTGATGATGAAACATTTAAGACAAACACCAGCAAAATCTGTAACAAAAAAGATGAGAATGGAAGTACATGTTGCATATAAAATTGATACGCTTTCAGAAGACATGAACGGCCCACACAGAAAATACCTGTTTTGTTTAGTTCTGTTATATTTTGAAGCAAGGACTTGTTATATGGCAGACTCATTACCTTTTGGATCATGCACTGCTACTGAAAATTCGCCCAAATATTTCTTGAAGTTGAAAAGGTTTCTTCAGAACCTTTTATGCTAAAGGTTGATATTTTTCTGTAGCTCCCACTTACTTCAGTCTGTCTTTTTTTCTAACCTTGGTTAGCAGCAGATTTCCTCTGTAACTGTTCTTTCCACTTAACCAGAGGGGGCTGAGCATCCCAGAGCAGAAGCTGAGCAAGAAGCTGCCTGTAGATCCTGGCATAGCTGCTCAGTACCTGGAGATGGGAGGAGGAAGCAGGAGGCTGGTCAGCTGGGCTTTGATAGGGAGGGTGTTGCCTGCATCATCATTACCTCTTTTGCAGCTTCAGTTCTACTGTGCACAGTGAGAAACAAGGAGGAGGTTCTCCTTCAGTGTGCAGGGTGGTGCTCAGACAGCTAGGATTCATTCCTACCTTTATCCCTGTCCTGTGCAATATAACCCACAAAAGAAATTTGTACAACTTATACCAATTATTGTGTAGATTTGAGTTTAAAGCCAAGAACACAGAAAAGTGCTGGGCATTCACAGTTTTCATGGCACATTGCACACATTCTTCAAATAGAGAAAAAAAAGCAAAATGGAAAGGAATTTGTTTCTCTAAGCAGACCACAATTTAGAGGACACTTTTCCTCTATCAGCTGCAAAAGGAGAGAAATAAACTCAGCTCATGTTGCTGGTATGCTGCTGACAAGTTCCTTGAAATAGTTTTCAGACACTGAGTTATTATGTTTTTTAAAAATATGTTTGAGGTGCAACTACTATTTGAGAAATAAAACATTAGTCCATGTGTAGAACACCACTGGAAACACTCAGTTACTATTCATCTGGTGAACTGAAGGAAGGGAAGATGTCATCAGAAAAAGTCCTCTGTGCTGCACAATATGGACATACATTCACAGGCAAGCTGAACTGAAGAGCAATGGTTGCCTTCCTTTGACATTTCCTATGGTTTTGAGATACTGCTTCTGTAGTCTTGGTGATTTCTCAATGTAGGTGGTACACATAAAATTATAAGTTGGTAATACAGAAAAAATAGATGTGATCTCACTTTGCTTCAGAGTTATTCAGTTGACAGCAGAGCTCAGACACACATGAAGATAATACATAAACATTTTGGGTACA